CAAGCAAACCTAACAATAATTGGTAAAAACAGTGAGAAATACGCAATAATTGCGATGAAAACAATCCAAAACAGTAAATTATATTATAGGAATCAAATCATGACAAGCATAAAGCAAAGATACAATTGATCCTCAATTCGAGAGGAGGATCGTTCTCTTCCAATCTCTAGACGATGAGTTTAGAGCCCAAGTGATGCAATCAAAATTTAGATTAATGGGCATTTGTTAGTAGGCTGAAATTAGCTAAATGGGCATGGCCCGTATTTCTTTGGATGTTTGGTGATTGGGGTGTTATGGCTGAAAAGGGGCTAGCTTTTTTAGCACTTGGCTGCTCGGTTCTTGAGCATGTCGTGCTCTTTCCTTGGTGTCTGTTGGGCTCCTGGCTGTTCTGATTATGGCTAGCTGTTGGGTTGCTTGTCCATTCGGTTCTTGGGCTGGCCGTGCCTTTTTTCTTGGGTTTATTCCCTCTGTTTTGGTTGGCTAATTTGGGCGGCTTCTTTGGGTGACTATTGGTTTCTTTTTCCTATTTATAGGGTTATTTTCTACTGGACATGCAGGAGATATGGACTGATTTTTGGAAATAAAACCAGAGGGTTTTGTAATAGCTTACGAGCTATTGTCTTCTCCTTCTCTTGTTCTTCTAATTCATCTCAGATTTCTATCTACTTCTTCTCTCCACAAGTTACCCTTCCAATTGTATCTTTCATCTCTAAACTAAAAGTAACGTTATCTTGTTGCAAGTTTCTTTTTTAGTTTGTGATATTTTCTAAATTATATCAATTTGGTATCAGAGCCCTTGGTTAGTGTGGGAGTCTTTTTCTTTATAAAATAATAATAATAATAAAAGCAATCATAATGGAACCTCATCTAGAAGGCATTGAATCTGTTGATGGTGAAAATCGTCCAACAAATCTTGAAGAAAGAATTCCAACAAGCCGCTGGGTTCTGTCCCAAGGTAGTTCTACCAATCCGATCCAAAATTAATTATATAAAATTTAGGTGAGAATGAGCTTGTGTACAGAAAAATACGAGAAGAGAAAGCGAATTCTTCAAGCCTAGTTTAAGCAAGAAAGAAAAAAAATCCAAAGAAAGTACGCAACTTTAATTCGGGAGTTAGATAAGGCTCATTCGACGCGTAAGGGAAGTTCATATTAGAACTCATCAGGAGATGAGAACTCTATCCCAGGGGAGAATTGATGCAATCAAAATTTAGATTAATGGGCATTTGTTAGTAGGCTGAAATTAGCTAAATGGTCTTGGCCCATGTTTCATTGGTTGTTTGGTGTTTGGGGTGTTATGGCTGATTGGGGGCTAGCTTTTTTAGCACCTGGCTGCTCAGTTCTTGAGCATGTTGTGCTCTTTTCTTGGTGTCTGTAGGACTCCTGGCTAATCCGATTCTGGCTGACTGTTGGGTTGGTTGTCCGTTAAGTTCTTGGGTTGGTCGTGCCATTTTTCCTGGGTTTATTTCCTCTGTTTGGATTGGTTGATTAGGGCAGCTGCTTTGGGTGACTATTGATTTCTTTTTTCTATTTATAGGGGTTATTTTTCTATTGGATATGTAGGAGATATGGACTGATTTTTGAAAATAAAACCTGAGGGTTTTGTAATAGCTTGCAAGCTATTGTCTTCTTCTTCTCTTCTTCTTCTAATTCGTCTCGGATTTCTATCTACTTCTTCTCTCCACAAGTTACCCTTCCAATTGTATCTTTCATCTCTAAACTAAAAGTATTGTTATCTTGTTGCAAGTTTCTTTTTTAGTTTGTGCTATTTTCTAGTTTACATCACCAAGAAATCAAAGAGAGCTCCAAGAGAAACAATAATCATGCATCACCCTAACCCTAATCTCCCCTTTCATATTTAAGGCATACAATTACAACAAGAAGCCAAATGACCTCCTAGCCCTTGCCGCCCCCTCCTTTGGCTCCTAAATTTGAATTTGAACTCTAGTTGATACAATCAAAAATTCACATAGAGTATCTTGATTGCCTAAAAACAACTGTCTATCATTGAAGATAAGAAAATACCATAAACAGACAAAAAAATAACACTTAAACAAAACATAACTTAACTTTCATATTATAAAGACGAAGCATACAAACTTATATCATAAAACACCTAAAACTGCTTTTATATCGCTTAAGAAGAAAGATACAAATTGGGTGTTAACTTGCGGATAGAAAAATTAGATAAGAAGCCCGAGACGAAGTCATAGATAGGAGAAGAGAAAGGGGGACATAGCTCGCAAGCTTTCCCAAGAAAAACCCTCATGTTTTGTTCCAAAAATACTCACATAATCTCTCTCTTTTTTTTTCTTACAAATCAACACACATATAGGTAAAAAGAGGAAGCCAAACAACCCCAAATAACTCCAGCCGAACCAATCAAGAAAGGGGGAAACAAAAGGCCAGCAGGCGGCTCCAAGAGCAGCAGCCGAAGGGACCACACGGGGGAGAGGAACGGGCAACCACAGGGAACCGAAACAGCCAGCCATGGGACAGGAGCCAGGCGGAGGAACCGAACGGGCAACAGAGAGGGGGAGAAGAACCAGGACTTGCATTATAAGCTAACAAGCCATTCCAAATAACATAATGAGCTGAATTTAGAATAAAAACACAGCAGCTCACCAAAGGGATAGCCCAAACCAAAAACAACTAAGCCTAAA